CCTGCGACAAGCCCAGGTGCACCGAGGCGGTCTCCGAGATGTACATGATCTTGCCGTCCGGAGCCACGACAAATATGAAACCGTCCAACGTCTGCAGAAAAGGGTTGAGGGGCGGGAAGTATAAATATATCAATAGATAGCCAGATAGATCCACCCATGAAGACAGATTCATGAAGTACCTGTCCCTCGGATTTACTTTAGCAAACAGGCATCCCTCTTCAGGCTGCGATTATTCACACAGTTGGAAGGAAATGGGCAAGTCTTGGACAGGAATCCCTCTAAAGCTCCTGGGCTCCTGAGGTACAACCCACTTCTCAGAGGGACCGAGCTCAAAAGCAATGCAAAGTGCCTGGGAAGTATCTAAGAAGAGGTCCTGGCTACCCGGTGACTAATATGTCAGTCCCAGAAATCCTGAGTACTTCTATCCCATTTCAAATATCACTGGGGGTTTAGCGCTTGGATATTTGTTAAGGAGACTTTAAGCGAGCGAGGAGGATCTAAAACTCTCCGCAGTGTAAATAAGGGACGAGACAATCTGTCAGGCACGTTTCAGCAGGCGTAGATGGGGCTTCTGGGTGTGCCGAGGGCAGAATAGGCCCCCAAAAGGCCACACAACCCCACCAAAAATGCGTAGTGGTGGTGGTAACCGCTAATATTCCTTAATATTTCAGACCGCAGTGAGTTTTCAAACGTGTCCTACCTGATTTGTGTCTATGCTAATTTCTGTGCCTGCTGAGCCCTTCTGTCCAGGACAGCCTCCTCCAACTTGTCTCTAGAGCCTCTCCCTGACTCCACACCACCCTGAGGTTCGGCGCGTTGCCGGGACTTGTCACCTTGTTAATAATTTGGGGAAAAGTCATGCTCCCGTTCTCTCGTCCCAGAAGAAACACCGGGATATGCTGTGAACCCCTCGCTGCGGTCCCTGTGTCGGCCAGTGCTGGGGCAAAGGACCCGGAGGTAGCAAACCACAGCCCCATTACAACGCACCACATTCAACCGCGACGGTTCGTGTTTCTGAAGTTCCCCCCCCCCACCCCCCCCCCCCCCCCCCCCCCCCTCCCCCTCCACGTCCACGTGAACAGTTAAAAATTAGTCAAGGTGGCAATTAAAGGCTCAGAAGAGGGAATGATTTCTTTAATCATTAATACCATATGGCTGTCGTTTCCAGACCACTACCTGCAAAAGATGGGATCCCAGTTCCCGTCCAACGTTATCCAGCGGGCTGGTTCGGCTAGAGTGGCCCCAGGCTTCTCCGAGTCCTGTGTATTTAAGACACAAAAAAAGTAAGGTGAGGAGATGAAAAATTGACTCGTGTTGGCCTGCTGGAGAGGAACTTCTCTTTTTTTCAATTTTTTTGGTTGTATTCGCTCTAAAACACGCATACATATAATCTTCGGAAAACTAGACGTGCTTTCGTTGCACAGAGAAGCCTCTTTTGTGTTTTGGGGTTTTTTAAAGATCTAACTCCCGTGAGAGAAAGATACCAAAATACCTATTTTGAGTTAACGATTAAGTTCATTCCTAAGACCTAAGCGAAATAGCGTGCCAGATAAAAGGGCTTTTGAGTGCTGCCCTCGGCTACTGAGAACCGGCTCCTTGAACTTCAGGGAAAGCGCCTTTCTCCTAAAGTCACCGAAGGGATCCCGGACAACGCTGAGAGCTATTCAAAATGAAAGAAAGGGGTGTGCTGGGGGAAGCCTTTGATGTCGAGAGAAGGACGAGGTTAACGTGGCACGGCGGTCCCTGGGAAGAGGAACCTCTCGGCGGCGGCCAGGCCAGCGATGCGGATCGGTCCCGCCAGCACCTGAGCGCTGCCTGCGGGTGGTTCCTCCCCCTGCAGAAGGCAGAGCTCGGCCACAACCTGCCGGGTAATTAGCCAGCAGGCTTCGGAGGGGGAGTGACAAGGATGGGCTTAGACCCCCCGCTCGCCAGACATCACTCTCCAGTTTGATCTGTGACCTCCTGCCTCTTTCTCTCTTCGGGGCCACCGTCCTCTCACCTGGGAGGTTTGTAATCACCGATCTGGGTAAGGGGAGGGGGAGAGGAGCGACCAGATGCGACTCCTCCACCTCTCCCCGAGCCCCGTGTTAAAACGCTTTCCCCTTTAGTGATCCCCACTCAAGCCCACGAAAAGCGAACTACCTGTCGCTGTTTCACGGCTGCGGTAAGGCGCTTCTGGGGCGGCCCAGGCAAGTCACTGTCCGACGGCATGGGCCGTCCTCCCTCCGGCCCCACGAAGCCCGGTCTCCGGCATTCGCCTCCCTTCCCCTCCCTCCCTCCTCCCCGCTGCTCTGGCAGGCGGGACGGCTCTCTCCGCAGAAGGGATGATCTGCCTCCAAAACAGCCCCCTCCAGAAAGGGATCCCTCCGGACCCGTCTAACGCTTCAGACGCTTTTCTCCTATGCAAAGTGAGGGGGAATAATTTCAGACGCAGCTTGTTTTCTCCTATGCAAAGTGAGGGGGAATAAAGGCCGGATGGAAATTATTCCACCGGAGTAAAACTACTTATGAGCGATGCCTTTTCAGAGTGTTGTTGCTGAAATAATTTAAACGGGGCAGTTAAAACCTTTTACGCTTATGCCACGAAATAAGGCTCAGCTTGACACGCACAGACACTAAGATAAAGTAAAAGGGAGGAAAAAAGTACAAATCTTGACTGATGGCTGAGGTGCGGATCGCCTGGGGGAGGCGAGAGCCGAGCCGGCGAGGTCTCCCTCCCGCAGGGCGGGCTCGGGGAAGGCAAGACCCCGTTTTCCGGTTATTTCGAGGCAAACAGGCGAGGTGGCGACAGCAGGCAGCCGCGGGCATCCCTCGCTATTGACCGGCTTCACCCAGGTGTTTGCCGGTCTAAACAAAGCTAACGATTTCCCCCGCGCTGTTTGAGCGGGGCATCCCACGGCGGCGCTCGCCCGCCCTCCCCCACCGCCGAAGCGGCAGAGCGGTGCGCCCCTCCCTTCCCCACCTTTCCCTCTTTTCTCCCCCCTTCGTCATTCACCCCTTCACGCCAACTTGTCTCTTCACCGCTCCTACACTTCCCTCCTTCCTCCTTAACTTCATGGCCCTACAAAGGCAGGGGCATCTCTCTGGCCCGGCCCCCATCTCGCAGCCCCAGCACGTGCCAGGGTGCCAGCCGAAACCAGGCTCCTTCCCATTAATTCCTCCACGCCAATTAACGGGGACCCAGTGACTTTTTCCTGAGTCCCCGGGCTTCACCCCCCCCCCCCCCCCCCCCGAGCGGGGGGGCTCCGCAGGCACCTCTGCCCGCCCCCCGGGGAGCCAGCCGCCAGGACGGAGGGTCACCCCCGCCCCCCCGAAATCAGCAAGGAGCTGGCGAATCTTGCACAGCTTCCAGGGAAAGAGAGAAAAACCCGCGGTACATTTGTTTTTCCCGAGCTCCTCAGAGGTTTCTCTGCTGGGGAGCCAGGACGGCCCGTCAGAGCAGAGGCGGCCGAGGCGGCTCCTTGCGACGTCCCCCCACCTGGAGGGAAATCTGAATGACAGGTTTCTGTGTTCAGGGCTAAATCCGCGCTCCCCGCCTATGATTTAAGTTGTTTATTAATCGAAGTTTACGGCTCTAATTATTCTTCTTCTAAAAGGGAAAATAACCCGACCCCCGCGGGTTAATGAACAGCTCATGGGCTTTACAGGTTAACCTCCCCCCGGGAAGGCGGTTCTTCACGGGGCGCTGAACTCCTCGCTGTGTTTCAGGTGGAAAGCCCGCGCTGCTGGGCTATGTCTGTTAATGGTTTATAATTAAACGTTTTCACTTGTCTACCTGAACCGGCTTTTTGAAATCCTATCACATGAGACGATTCTTTGTACTTCCCAGATGTTTCAGCACTTTCAAGTCGGAGACTATTTCTATTCATTGCCAAGCCCAGCCTCTCCCAAATCGACGGGCTCTCCTGATGCCCCTTAAATACTGTTTTTAAAGATTATACGAGAAAACCTCTCCATTAATATTCCCTTTTATTTTTTCCCCCGTCTATTCGCTTTAACATCCAATTTCCTTTCATCGAGGGGGCAAACTGTGATTTCTTGCACTTGACCTACCGCAGAAAATTCTGCAAATCCTTTGATTGTCTATTTAAAACAAAACAAGGAAATCAGCTCTCCCTTTTACTTCAGGATTACGCTTGGAAACAAGATCTAAAGATTCTCTTGTAATTTGGAGAGCCAACAGCATAATAGGTTTGGAATAGAAACAAGCAGCTTTGTGAGGGGAGGGATAACTAAATCGTTTTTAGGCAAAGGATTTTCCCAGCTAAAGTGGCCGAAGACAAAGCAAAACATAATCTATTTTGGAAGATTTCCAAGATATGCCACATTAACCTTAGCAGATAAAATTTGCTTTCTTCCCTGCGTCCCCTCCCCCACCAAGGTCTGGTTTATCATATTTACATAAGTAGCCTTAGAAGGGATGTATCTATTATGGATCTAAGGAGCTAGCGAGCTCACATTTCATTTGGAAATAGAGGCGAAGTTTTACTCTTGCTTAATACTTGATGCATTGTAGAACCATTTCCATTTAAATACTCCCGACCCACGGATTACCTCAATGGACTGGCTGCGTGGGTTCTGTAATTTCCTGAAAATGAGATTTCGATTTATAAAACAAGAAACCAATTAGTAACCAAATGAGGCGAAGTAGATCCACTAAAATTGACCTAATCCCACAGGCACCATTTAGGCCAGTTCTTGGCGAATGAATGATGAGCAATCGTCTAGCGTAAGCTCAAGGCATCATCCAGCTGTGTTATTCAAGCAGCAAAAATAAATGGATCGAGCTTTTCTTTCGGAATGAATTTGATACTCTTGACAAAATATAGGTTATAGGCTGCTACCTAACAATCCCCTCCACTCGAGGATTTTTTTTTTTTTCCCTAAGAAGATAAACAATTTGGGCCACAAGAAAGTGTTCACCGTCAGGAGGAAGGAGGGGGGAAAAAAAAAAAAAGGGCAAGGCATTTTAGCCAGGCTCTTGCTTAGTTTGCGAACAAGAGTCTCGTTACCTAACAGTATGCGCCGAGACTGCGCGGATCCTGCTCGGAGCGGGAGTGCTGCCTCATCGTTTCTCTCAGCACTTCCCAATGGAAAACCACTGCGCCTTCCACATCAAAAAGCATCTCAGTCGGTTTCATGGGACGGCTACACCGGCGAGTCCACGTGAAATGCCGTCTCCCCAGCCGTGCCCACCCCCGGCGCTAGGCGAGCCGGTCCCCACCGACAGCCTGCCCCCCAAGCCAGGCTCACGGCCAGCGCCGCAGCGCTCGGCTGCGTTGGCCCTGTCTTTCCCCTCATCGTTTGATTGATGCAAGCCTTGATGTCAGCAGCCAATGGAGGGGTTGGGTGGATGTCGTCCCTACCCAGTGGCGATATTGTCGCAAGAAGCTCCTCTGTCCCACGGAAGGGGGAAGAGATTCCTCAATCATTTCTAATTTGATCTAGGCAAAGACAGAGGAAGGCAGGCGCAGGGAAATGAGACTCCGGGAGGCCCGGGCAGCTCCTTGGCCCTGGTTGATCTCTGGGTTACTTGTCCCTCTGTGAGCATCTGCAGCGCAGAACCCACCTCGACCCCCTCCTTTGTCTGGCAATAGCAAAGGGGGGCGGGAGTGGACGGTGAGGGTGGGGTGGCCAGAAGATGCAAGCCCTTACCTACTTTGTGTTGATTTGCCGGCTTTTAAAAGGGGTTACTACGATTTCCCCAGCGGACTATCCGTCATGAAGTCTCAGCGCAATCCGGATCCACGGTAGCGAAAACAACGACAGAGCGGGCGATTTGACGTACCCGTTTAAAAATCACTTAGTGGAGCTCCCAGCCTGAGCTCCAGATCCGCTTCTTTGGGGGGGCCAGGCTTTGAGGGGCAGC